CCGTTGTCGTTCCATGCCAGATTGGGGTTAGCTGAGGCACAGGAGCCGGGAGGGTTGCGGCTGAAACTTCTCTCCCGCCAAACCCGCGCGGGTATTGTGTATGCACAAAAAGAGGCTGCCAATACTCTGGATGTGAGGTACGGGGCTCCCCTTTTTCAGTTTAATGCAACAAAATTGAGTAGGACCGAATTTACGGTACCAATCGGGTCCTTTGTTACCTCCGAAATGAGCCCTTGTACAGTATCAGCTAGAGTGGCTCTTAAGTTTTGTAGAAAACATTTACCAGTAACACTAGCCAACACCATTTGGAACTTCTCTGATTGGGACCCGCATACCCTTTTTGATGTAGTTTTGCTTGCTAATTGTTCCTTTTCATTTTTAGAAATTTGTTCTTTTTTCTGAGACCAGTTTCATAGCACATGATAAATCAGCACTCACGATTCAAAAGCATGCTTTTATACAAAGGAAATGCTCTGTTTTTTTGCATCCACCGTTGTTGATCGAAACAAGTTTCACTCCAAGAAATCTAAATAATACTCCCTCCGTCCCAAAAAGCATGTCGCAGGGGGTTTCAAATTTGAACTACCGCATTTTTTACAAAAATACCCTCCCGCAACTTTGAATTCTCTCAAAGCAACCCGCACGCAGGCCCAAGTCGCGGGAAGATCCTGCCGCCGGCTGGGCTCCAGGCCGGTGGAGCTCCTGCCGCTGCTGCCGGTGGAGCTCCTGCCACTGCTGCATCTTATCCTGCAGATTCTCCCCTGCTGCCGGCCGCTGCTTCCGCACAGGAGCTGCCCCCACTCCAAAAACGAGCCCGTCTCCTCCCCCTCCGGCAGCGGCGTCCGCACAGGGGCTCAGCGCCGTCGCACATCCTCCCTCCTTCCCGAGCATACCAGGAGCTCCGCCTCGCCGATACCTACGCCCTCCTTGAGCCACGCTTGCTGGGAAGCCGCTGATCGACGGAATCGATCCCGTCTCCTCCCACTCCGGCCGCCGATTCCGCACACGAGCTCAGCGCCGTCGCTCCTCCTCTAGTTGCCCCGAGCGGCTCAACAGCTTCAGGGTGATTTTCTGGTCCTCCAGGTCACTTTTCTCCTGTCGATTGGTTGCTGGTTCGCCTGGCCGTGGTCTGCCGCTTGCTGCCATTGGAGCTCGTCAGTAAGCTCCTCCGGTGACCAAAAACCGGCGCCGTTGCCATTGGAGTATCACCCACGCTCGGGTGCTGACCTGCTGTTCTTCGCTGCTGATCTTCTCTGAAGAAGAAGGTACAGTACAATCTCTGGTCTTCTGTTGTTCTTCCTCTGTCGATTGATCTGTAGCGACTGTTGTTGTTGTAATCTCTTCGTCATGCTGTTGCTTGCTGTATCAAAAATTAACTCGTAAGATATGTGACTTAGATCAGTCATTCAAGATAACACTATTTATGCATGGCACATGAGTACAGAGTTCAACAACTAACAATAGTAAGGAAAATTTCAATTTAGCATGGATTAGTAATCTCTACCACTGGAGGAGTACAAAGTTCAACAGCTAACAATAGTAAGGAAAATTTCAGTTTTGACATCAGTATAAACATCAAGCAAAACTCTTGCAAATTTTCAGTTTCGACAGTGTCAAAGCATACAGGCGCTAACGTGCACCTGCAGTAAGTTCTGATCAGTTATCTTTCGATAAAGGGCCGAAACCCAATTTCTTCACCAAGCTTTGAACCAGAAAACTAACTTACAGAAATGCGGCAAGCAACTACAGCAACTAATGAGGCAAGCAAGGCCTTTGCTAATCCCATATCATCAATAGATGATATGGTATGAGATTATCTTCTACTGCAATTGCAATCTAGCTTTAGTAAAAAAGGCCTACAGGTTGTAATCAATCTAGCTTTATCAACTACTGCAATTGCAATTGCAATCCCAGGTTGTAAGAGTATATAAGGGGTATTTTCACCAACTTACAGAGAGTATTTGAAAATTTGGTCACTACAGGACCACTACACTACTCCATGTCACTACTGTTCAGAAACAAACTTGGCTGAAAATTCAGTCATTCTAAAATTCTAAAATGCATTAACAAATTTTGCTTTAGTTTGACTTCAGAAATCAAAATCTAGGAGGAAATCAAGAGGAGCTGGAGACTTTTGGCAGAACATAGACACCCCCACAAGGGCTTGTAACTAGTCCAGCTGTTTTCCATATAGAATGGTCAATCTCCACAAAATAAACATCTTATGAGATATACACCGATCTTTTACACATTACTTAATAAAGTATGCTGACAGTCATAATTTTGTTAAATATCTAAACTCGGCCATAATTCAGTTGAACATGCAAGGAAACATTTAACTTGTGATGTCAGTGAAAACATCACCAGACTGTTAAAATTCAGTTAAAAGATCTGTACCTTGATGCAGACAAAGGGAGTAGGTTAACTGATTTGGTCCTGTGGCTGGTCAAACTGTA